ATCTTAATATTTGGCTTTCTGTGGTGATAATAAGTTTTATTATTAGTCATATTGAAATGTACAACACTCAGATAGCAGTTATATTTATTACACTGTTAAATAATGCATTATTATTGTGTTATTAATTATTAGTAAAGTGTTATTATTTTGTTACTGTAACATATTAAAGAGGAAGAATGGTTTGTATTGATTTATGGTTCTAGAGGTTTGTTTTCACCGTCACCTGGCTCTTTACTTTTGGACTTCTGTTCTGGTGAGGCAGAACTTTACAGCGTGGAGCAACTGGTGGAAGCAAAACTGTTAATCGCATGGGGGCTGTGGGGCAAAGAAGGAGAGAGGAGGAGGCCAGGGCTTCAAAACACTCTGGATAGGCAGATCTCCATAAATGGCCATCCTAGTTAACTGTCAACCTGACATAGCCTGAATCTGAAGAGTGAGTCCTGATTAAGAAATTTCCTAGATTCAGGGCATGCGTGTGGTGGATCATGCTGCACATTAATGATGTGGAAGGACCCGGACCACCGTCGGTACCACTATTCCTAGGCAGGTGGTCCCAGGCTAAATAAGAAAGCTAAGTAGGAACCAGTATTCTTTGAGGTTTCCTGTCTCCATGTTTTTGTTGTGACTTCCGCTAATGATAGATTGTATTCTTTTTTTTAATTTATTTTTTTAATTTTTAAATAATTTTATACATTCATTTGTATCCCAGCTGTAGCCCACTCCCTTTTTCCCTCCTATTTTTCTCCTCCCTCCCTCATCTCCTCCTGACCCTTTGCGAGTCCATTGAGAGGGAGTGTCCTCCTCTCCTTCCTTCTGGCCCTAGCTTATCAGGTAACTTCAGGATGGTTGCAATATCCTTATTTGTGGCCTAGCAAGGCTGCTCCTCCCTCAGGGGAGAGGGGAAACTCATGAGTTCATGTCAGAAACAGTTCCTGTCCCCCTTACTAGAGAACCCACTTGGATACTGAGCTACCATGGGCTATGTCTGAGCAGGGGTTGTAGGTTATATCCATGCATGTACTTGGTTAGATAAACAGTCTCATAGAAGACCCCTGTGCTCAGATATATTTGCACCTTGTGGGGTTCCCTGTCCCCTCTAGGATATACTAATTCCTCCTTCCTTCATATGATTCCATATACTCTGCCGAAGGCTTGGCTATGGGTCGCAGCATCTGCTTTGATACACTGCTAGGCAGACTCTTTCGGGTGCCTCCTGTGGTAGGCTACTGTCCTGTTAGTTGTTTTCTCCTATTTCCAATGTCCATTCTCTTTGTCCTTCTAGATGGGGATTGATCATCTTACCCCTGGACCTCTTTCTTGTTTATCTTCTTTAGATATACATATTTTAGTATGTTTATCCTATCTTATAGGTCTATATAAGTGAGTATATACCATGTGTGTCTTTCTCCTTCTGGGATACCTCACTCAAGATGATTTTTTCTAGATCCCACCATTTACCTGCAAAATTCATGATTTCCTTGTTTTTAATTGCTGAGTAGTGTTCCATTGTGTAAAAGTACCACAATTTCTATATCCATTCCTCCGTTGATGGACATCTGGGTTGTTTCCAGGTTCTGGCTATTACAAATAAAGCTGCTACAAACATGGTTGAGCAAATGTCCTTGTTGTGTACTTGAACATCTTTTGGATATATGCCTAGGAGTGGTATAGCTGGATCTTGAGGTAGTACTATTCCTAATTGTCTGAGAAAGTGCCAGATTGATTTCCATAGTGGTTGTACCAGTTGACATTCCCACCAGCAATGGAGGAGGGTTTCCCTTTCTCCACAGCCTCTCCAACATGCGTTATCTCTTGAGTTTTCGATTTTAGCCATTCTGATGGGTGTAAGGTGAAATCTCAGGGTCGTTTTGATTTGCATCTCTCTGATGGCTAGGGATGTTGAACATCTCCTTATGTGTTTCTCTGCCATTCTATATTCCTCTACAGAGAATTCTCTGTTTAGCTCCATACCCCATTTTTTAATTGGGTTACTTGGATTATTGCCTTTTAACTTCTTTAGTTCTTTATATATTCCAGATATCAGCCGTCTGTCAGATGTTGGATTGGTGAAGATCCTTTCTCAATCTGTAGGCTGTTGTTTTGTTCTAACGACAGTGTCTTTTGCTTTACAGAAGCTTTTCAGTTTCATGAGGTCCCATTTATTGATTGTTGCTTTTAGGGCTGATAGATTGTATTCTTAAAGTGTAAGCCAGATGCTTTCCTCCTCAAGCTACTTTTCATCATGGTTTTTTCACAGCAAAGACTGAAACTAGAATAAGAGATAAATCCCTGATACTAAACCATGCTTTCTGGAGATTTCTCCACCTTCCAAGAACTCCATGAATGGGGGAGGAAGCCTTTATTTGTGGCCTTTGGGTGACATTCTGAATCTAAAATATGAAAAGCTCACTAGTGATTATTTAACCTTGGTGTTTTGAATTGCAAATACAAGCCATGAATATGTATCTTGTCTTGCTGCTGGTGACTCTGTGCACACGCACACACATGAATGCATGGGTATGTGGTGAGTTTATAGCATTATCCACTAATAAGATTTAGAACACCTACTCTGCCAAGTTGTTCTTATGAACAAATGCAATAGGTGATACAATAATAAGATTAGGACTATATTTTATGATTCCCCACACATGGTTGCAGGACATTCAGAGGGAGTCACACTGAGTCTATGCTGCAAGTTTCCTTCCTGCTGGCTAGCTTTCTTAGTGTCAACTGGTGCTATGTAAGTTGCTGGGGAGAAAAGTCATCAGCAGTCCTACCCAGTTGTGGATCTGATGGGCCACTCCGACTTTCCCAGCAAGGTATGCCCATTGGTGTAATAATGACATGAATGCCATGGGGGAAACAAAATGTTTTCGGATTGGATTTGTAGTCAGCTCTATAGGAGCAATCTCATGCCTGCTATTGTAGATCTGGTAAGAACACCTGTGTATGACCAAGTCCTAGACTCTAGCTGACCACCTATTATCGTTGTTTTGCTAAGTGGACATATCATTGAACAGCCTTCTGGATACTTATGCTCATACTCATAGATCAGTTCTGCTGTCAGCCTTTCTCAGAGGAACTTCTTTTCAATATGCAGCAGTTAATACAGAGGCTCACAACTGGTCAGTGTGGAGTCCTTGGCCTTAAATGGGACATCTATGTAACTTCCAGCCCTAAGGCTCAGGGCATATTTCAGAAGACGGGGTGAAAAGAGCATCAGAGCTGGAGGTTGGAGAGGACTTCTTCAAGACAGTGTCTTCTGGACATGGCATACCCACTGCACTCGGGAACTCACGGAAGTTGTGGGCATTTGTGTAAGAGCTGCACAAAACTGGACTTGTACTGATTTAATCCTGCATGGCACAGGTGCTCATGAGGCCCTATCCCTTACTGAGGGTTTATGAGATGTAAAGGGAGTAGTGTAATTTTCTTTAGTGGTGTAGCTACTGACACATTACCCATATTTCTGAAAACAACCCCTCTCCAAAGATGCTTATACAAGTGAATGTGGGTCAATAGGAAACCAAAAGACATCAAAATAGGAGGAAGTTTTTTGGTCAAAGGGTTTCAGTGGGAAAGGGTACAGAGAAGAGAAGGGAATGTGGCACGAAACAGTATATATATAATGCCATTGTCAAGTAATAAAAAAGCCAATTTTTATATTAAAAAGCAAAGAACTCGTTTTCAGAGCTGGAGAGAAACGTCCGTTTCCCTGGAAACACTAGATGGGCAGGAGAACTACTGAGTGAGTCTGGGTAATCTGAGAAGTGTATCTGATATGAGAATAGAATATATGTTCTGTTTCTTTTTAAACTCCCCACTGGTTTATAAACAAAACCCTAGGTTTCCACAGCAAATGCCACCATCATTCCTTTTTTTTTAAAGACACAAATTTCTGTTAATCTTTTGAGTTTTATATTTGTACAATGTATTAGATCAGATTCACCCCTACAATTCCACCTCTACACTCTCTTCCTTCTTTTAATAAAGTGATTTCAAAATTATTTTATGTGCATAGTGTTTTCTTGCATGTATGTCTGTGAATCACAGGTGTGCAGCGGCCACGGAGGTAGGAAGAGGGCATCAGGTCCTGTGGAACCGGACTTACAGAAGGTTGTGAGCCATCATGTTGGTGATGGAAATTGAACTTGGGTCCTCTGGAAGAACGGCCTTAACCACCAACCCATCTCTCCAGTCCTAAACTCCCCCTAAAACAAAACACCAAGTCCGCTTTTTGTTGTCCATATTCTCATGGATATTGGGCCAGCCTGGAGCATGGCCACAACCTTAAAGACAACTGACTCTCCCTCTCCAGTTCCCAGAGGCCAGATGTCCATAGCTCTTTAGCTAGGTGGTGAGGGCTCAAGAGCCTACTTTCTGGCTGTCATGTGGCATTTTTTTGAGTAAGGCCCTTAACTGCCCTGTAGTGAATTGCTAATTTCTTCTCTGTCACATTATGAAGGACCATCTTCACAGGCAGGTAAGGATGACTGGTAAGCAGCAGGCGCTCAATAGTTGTGGCTGCTGTACGGAAAAAAAAAAAAAGTTTTCCCACATTTCAACACCATCTACCCTCCAGTTGATACTTGTTCAGTCTGGCTTCCTTTGTCTGGCCTTTATTGACCTCCTCTTCCAGTACATAGGGGTTAGGAAAGGACGGGTACCAGTCTCCTCCAGGATTCACCCCTCCCCCGGGTGCGTCAGCGAGCTGACGTCAGGCGCAGCCGGGGCGTTTCCCGTCAGGCCCGCCCCGCAGACCCTGAAGTGGCTGCGGTTCACGTCGGGGGTCCGCCTGAGCTCTGCTGGTACCTACGGACCTCCGGCATCGAACGAGGCCTCAGCCGGTTCCTGCTCTCCAACCCCGGGGCCTGGACTTGCTTCGCGTCACCACTCAGCCCCGGCCCCGCCCCCCGGCGCTGGCTGTGGTTTCCCAGGGAACGACGCTGGGCGTCGGCCGTGATTGGGCCGTGTCGCGCGTGCGCAGTGCGCTATGTTGGTGGCGACCCCGCAGAGGGTACCGAGGTTTGACTGCCGCACAGGATGGCCCATTTCTCCAGCGAGGATGAGGTGATGCTGCAGGCGATGCTCCGGCAGCTGTTCCAGAGCGTGAAGGAGAAAATCACCGGCGCTCCCTCCTTGGAGTGCGCAGAAGAGATCCTCTTGAGGCTGGAGGAAACTGACGAAAATTTCCACAAGTAAAGTCGAGTTTAAGTTTTTAAGCGAACAAACCACTGGTCCAGGAAAGGCGAAAGTGATCTAGATAGAGATTCATTTGAATTTTGGTAAAATAGCTAATTGATGGTCCCTCCACCCCCCTCATTTGTCCCAGTGCCGAATTTATTTTTCTTTCTCTCTTTTTTTTTTTTTTTTAAAGCTGATTTTCTCGAGCCTCTTCTGCCTGTATGTTCTTTGCTGTCACCGCAGCTTAAGAACATCAATTGTAAATCTGAAATATTAACCGTTTAAAGTGATTCCTTTCACATTACCTAAAAGTAGTGTCCGCCCTCTCCCTCCCATCCCTGGTTTTTCGCCTGTTACCTCACTGTCTGCGGTAGGTAGTCATTCAACACTGCAAGGGACTCCCATACTGAAGCAGGTCTAGGTGCCTCTAGGGCAGGTAGGGCGCCTATGCAAATGCCCTGCATACACTGATAGGAGCCAGGACGTCCAGCATGGAGGAACCCAGAGAAAGGAAGTTGTTAAGTGCTACCTGAAGGACCTTTAACAGTGTAAACGCTTCTTAAACTTAAAGATCCTTAGAGATCTAGATGCTTCTTTGGAGTTTGTTTATATAATGAGTTAAGCCTCTCAGCTTCAAAGTCTATTTGCAGGTGCCCTGTTTATGGTTAGTTGTAGCTTTTTAATATCAAATGCTTGCCTTTCGTTTTGTCTCACATTTTCTTGTGATGTTGCTTTTGTATTCATTCTGGTGCACGGGATGGAACCCAGAGCTTCATGAGTGATGGGAGGCGTTTTATGTTGCTTTTATTGACTTCTGGATATCCCGAAGTTCACTTTTTCTAGAAATGGGCATTAGGGGGTTCTTCAGTGCTTTAATATTCTATGTAAAAGGCCATGCCTACTTGCAGTTTTTTTTTTTTTTTAAGTTTTCTCAGCTTCTCAAGGGAATTTTAAAAAGATATAGAAAGAATCACTGTAGAGTTTCTAACTTAATATTCATGATTTTTGAGACCTGCTTGCTGTGTTGCCCAGACTAGCCTGGAAACTGTTCTACTTCAGTGTCCCAAGGGGTGGGCGTTTCTGTCACCATGCCCAGCTTGATTTTTTTTTTTTTAAGTTTATGGTTGTGCTTATGGTTTCCTTTGTCTTCACTTATTATCATATTAAGTCGTTGTTAATCAAAATTATTGGATGATACTATTATTTAGATATACTCGCAGTCATTTTTTGGTCACAGGTTTATTACATAAAAAGCACAATAAAAAGTTTGTCACATTCTCAAATAAAAGTGGACACATTACATATCCATTTGTTTAGTGTTTTTTTTTTTTTTTTTTTTTTTTTTGATAGGATCTCACAATGTAGCTCTGACTGGCCTGGAACTTGCTATGTAGACAAGGCTATTCTGAAACTCAGAGATCCACTTGTATCTGCTTCTGAAATGCTAGTATGACAGGTGTACACCACCACACATGACACGTTTGTGGTTTAAAAATAGTAAGTAATCAAGTATTTTTAGTATTAGATTTTGGAATTTTCCAATTTTATCTAGATTTTCAAGCTAATTTACATATTATTGTTAACATTCACATTAATATTCACAAGCTGTGCGGTTACATCTCCCTTTTTTCATTCCACATTTTAAAAAAGCTTATTTGGTTACCGAGTTTCTGGGATAGCAAGAAGATGATATTGGAGACAGTTGAGTTAGGGAGTAATGCAATTTGTGGCATAATGAACCAAAATGGGGGTAAATGAGGTCATTGTGGGGGAGAAACTAGTATAAGCAATACCATCCTAGAGAAGATTTGTCACGTGGAGATACCTGCCTGTCCTTTCCTTCAATAGGCTCTATTGGTTTTCTCTCTAAGCTGTAAATCTGTGTTCTCCTTCTGTCCTTCAATATAGCAGAAGATACTTGAGGCCTCTAGAAGGGGAGAGAGTACTTATTTTATGTGCATATATATCATATATGATAACTTAATGTCATATGTGATAATGTTTTATAATGTACATGATATTTTATAATTATATACATGGCATTATGAAGTGTAGGTTTTGGTTTTCTGTAGTTTTGTATCAGCATTCTGAGACAGTCACAAGTTTATCACGGAAGAGCAATCACTGAGTTTTCTTGGGAAATGTAGGTAATAACACTGGAGAAGGAACTGTGGGAACATGATACTCAGTAATATTTTCCTATGTAAAAGAAAGGTTTTCATTACTGGAGGAAACAGTGAGACCTACGGCTGTGTGCTTTGAGCTGCTTCTGAGATGTGGTGGCTTCCAGGTGTTTTTTCTCTTGATCAAAACAACAACAATAAACAAAACAACAACAACAAAAAACACCCCCAAAACAAAACAGAACAAAGCAAAACACCTATATACTAGGTTTAGATCTGCATCTTTAAGGACATTAAAAGTTTTTTTTCTATACCTTTTTTGATCTTTTAATACTGGGCTCCACCTTCAGCTGCAGGAGAGTGTGTTAAATAGTTTCTGGTGTCATTGAAAGGAAATTTTAATACCAAAGCAGAAGGAAACACTATGCAGTGAATTGTTTCTAATTAGGATTCTCACTTTCATTCAGCAATGTGACTGCACTGTACCAAGGCCAGTTGGTCAGGCGTTTTACTTAAGTAGGAAGATTCCTCAGTCTAACTTGCATGGTGCTGTGCACCTCTAATCCCCAGATTTAGGAGGCTGATGCAGGGAGATTTTGAGTTTGAGTCCAGCCTAGCTACAAAGAGAAACCCTGCTCCCCTGTCTTCACTCTCCAGATAAATAAGACAAAAGATTTAGGGGCTGGAGGTGCTTTTGCCAACATTTGTTATTTAATGACAAGGCAAAAAAAAAAAAAAAAAAAAAAGCTTACAGGCCTTTGTCTGCTCAATTTCTTGGATCCAATTAATAAGTGAGATGGTGATATTTATTACATTTTATTTCTATGTTTGTTTCAGCTATGAATTTGTGAAATACCTTAGGCAGCACATATGTAACACGTTGGGGTCTATGATTGAAGAAGAAATGGAAAAATCCACATCTGATCAAAATCAGGATGAGGAACCTGGTTATGACACCATTGTACAGCATGTTACCAAAAGAACCCAGGAATCTAAAGAGTGAGTATGACCAGAACATTCTGTATGCATTTTATAATACATACATCTCCTCAGCCTATAGGACTTCTAACGTCCCCTTTACACAGGCTCCTTCTGGCTTCCTGACCTCTGCCGATACTCCAAGTCACTATCACAGATCTAAAAATTAAATTCTAGGATCTACATATGAGAAAAAACATGTGATATTTTTCTTGCTAGGTCTGAGCTACATCACTTAATGTAGTATTTTCCAGTTTCATTTCCCTGGAAATTTTTTCTTTCTTTATAGATGAAAAAGATTCCATTGCATATACTTGGTTTAATTTTCACAGTTGCATTATCTATTCATCAGTTGTTAGACATCTAGGCTGATTCAACTTCCTTGCTGTTGTGAATAGAGCAGCAATGAATATGGACGTGCAAATATCTCTGTAATAGAATATAGAGTCTTTTGGATATATGCCCAGAAATTGCATGGCTGGAGTATATGTTAATCTATTTTTAGCTTTTTGAGGGCTTTTGACACTGATCTCTACAGTGCATGCACCAGTTTACATTCCTGGTGGGTAAATGTTCCTTTCCCCCACATTGTCACTAATACTTGTCATTTGATTTCTTGATGATAGTCATTCTGATGGGTAAGATGGAATTTCAAATTAGCGTTATCTTCCATTTCACTTCTAGCTGACAATGTTGAGCAATTTAAAGTATTTATTAGACATTTGAATTTTTATCTTTTGAGAACTTTTTGTTTGGGTTCATGGCTCCTTTTTGTTAGTTTTCTTGGACTTAGTTGTATGTTTTGATATTTACTTTTTGAATTCTTTATGTACTCTCAATGCTAATCCTCTGTAGGATATGTAGCTGACAGAGGTTTTTCTCCCATTATGTAGGCTGTCACTTCACTGTGTTGTCAGTTTCTTATCCTTTGCGTTTCTTGAAATCTCATTTGTAGTTATTGGCCTGGAGTTGACTTCTGTGCAGACAGAGATAAAATCATTTAGTTTCATTCTGCTAACTGTAGAAATTTAGTTTTTCCAGCCCCCTTTGAAGATGCTGTCTTTTCTTTAGTGTGCAAACTTTGTAAAAGTCTCATCGTGTTCCTACCTTTCCTATTTTATGTACTTGTTTGAGGAGCAATTGTGTTATTTCTTCTTCAAAGGTTTTATGAAATTCACCCATGAATCAATCCATTTGAGTCTGGACCTTTCTTTAGTTGGGATATTTTAAATCACTGTTCTAACCTCACTACTTAGTGTAGAACTATTTAAATGGTTTACCTCATCTTGGTTTAATTTTGTAGGTCACATGCATTTAGAAATTTATTTACTCCTTTTATCTAATTTTAATAGGTGATGTTTTCAAGGTAAAACCTAACAACTTGAGTCTTTTCGTTCTTTAGTTTGGCTAAGGGTTTGTTAACCTTACATATCTTTTCAAAGAACCATCCCTGCGTTAACTACTGATTTCTGCCCTGGTCTTTTAAAAATATGTTTTATTAACTGCTTGAGAATTTCCTACATGCATATGATGTATTTTTCTCATATTTATCCACACTTATCCCAGATACACCGCTGTCATCCTTCCACCCTTTCAACTTCTTATTTCTGATTTTAGTATGTAACCTCATTGAGTACAATTAGAACTGCCCATACGTTAGTGTGAGGCCACTCACCAGAGCGTGGTGGACCTACTAACTGGGGGTCACAGGTTTAAAGAAAATTGTTTTTCTTCTAGAAGCCATTAGCCGTCAGTACTTCTGTAGCTAGTAGTAGGGGCTAGTGAGCACCTCTTTCCCCTGATCATAATTCCCAGTTTGGCTACTTTTATTTTATTTTTTTTCAGGATTGTAAAGTATGTAATTAAGTTTTTTTTTTTTTTTGATCTCTATTATTTACTAACTGAAGTACTTAGAACTATACACTTCTGTATTAAGACTTTTTTTAATTAAATTTTTATTTTTTATATTAATTACAGTTTATTCACTTTGTATCCCAGCTGTAGATCCCTCCCTTACCCTTCCCAATCCCACCCTTCCTCCCTCATCTTCTGTATCAAGACTTTTTAAATTGTATGGCCTAGATTGTGTTGTGTGTGTGTGTGTGTGTGTGTGTGTGTATGTTGTACATTCATTTTCACTTGATTTTAGGATTTTTTTTATTTTTATCTTGACTTCTTTTTTTTAAATTAATTTTTTATTTTTTTACATTAGTTACATTTTATTTAATTTGTATCCCAGCTGTAACCCCCTTCCTCATTCCCTCCCAATCCCATCCTCCCTCTCTCATCTCCTCCCATGACCCTCTCCAAGTCCTCTGATAGGGGAGGTCCCGTCTTGACTTCTTTAAAGCCCATCTATCATTCTGTGATTTGTGGTCTGTTCTCCATGAATTGGTGTATATTTTCCAGTTTTTATTGCTTTTGGTTTGTGGTCATATTCCATTGTGATCAGATAGAATACAAGGAATGGTTTAATTTTCCTGTGTTTGTTGAGACTTGCTTTGTATCCTAGTATGTTATCTATTTTGGAAAAAGTTCTAGTGGCTGCTGAGAAGAATGTATTCTCTACAGCATTTGGATCGAATGTTCTGAAGATACCTGTCGAGTCCACATGTGCCATCTTTGATCTGTGATATCACCTAGTTCATCTTTACTGTTTTTGTTGTTGCTATTGGCCTGTCTGTTGATGAGAGTGGACTATTGAAATCAGGTATTACTGTTGTGCGAGGCTAAGTCTGCGACCTCATAGCTAAGAAGATTTATTTCACGAAACTGAGTGTATCTCTGTTCTGGGAGTGGATGTTTGAATTTATAGTGTCTCCAATGGATTGTTCCCTTCACCAGGAGGAAGTGACATGCCTGTCTTTCCTATTAGTTTTCCTTTGATGTCTGTTTTGTTCGACATTTAGAACAGTGATGTTTGCTTGTTTCCTAGGTCCATTTGCTTACACACCTGTTTCCATCCTTTTACTCTAGGTTATTCTGCCTTTTGTGCTCAGATGGTTTTCCTGTAGGCAGCAGGTTGATGCTCCTCATTGTTGATTCATCCTATGGCTTTTTGCTTTTTGCTTGGAGAATTGAGATCATAAATATTACTAAAAGGTGTGTATTGATTTCTGCCATTTTGTAGTGTTGGCTTTTCCTCTTCCTCATTGTTCCACTATTATTCTAGTCTTGTTTATTCTGTGGCTAGTGCATAGTTTTTCTTTTTCTTCAATTAGAAGGGTTCCTTTAAGTGTTTTCTATAGAAGTGTCTTATAGATCAGAACTTTTTATTAGCCTATTTTTGTCATGGAAGAATTTTATTTTTCTGTCACTTATGACAAACAGCTTTGCTTAGTATAGGAATTTGGGTTGGCAGTTGTCTTTGAGAACTTAAAGTACAGAGCCTTCTGGATTTAAAGTTTTAGCTGGTATTTGTTGTTGTTCTGATGGACTTGTCTTTGCAATTTGGTGCTTTTCTCTTATTACATTCAATAGTTAATTTGCTCTATTTATTTAGTGTTCAAACTATAACATGATGATGAGATGTTCTCATCTTGTTTATTTTGGTATCCTAAATTCACGCCATGTCTCTATGAGTTAGCATATCCTTTCCTAATTCTGGGGATTCTTTTTTTTTTTTCTGTAATTCTTAAAACATTTTCTATGTATGTACAATTAGAATCTTCTCATTTTATATCTATCATCTCTAAATTAGGTCTTTCCAGAGTGTTATGCATATCTTGTAATTCTTACTGAACTCGTTATTTTATCATTTCCTTGTTTGATTGCTGCAGTTTCTCACCTCTGTGTTCGAGCTCAGATATTCTGTCCTCTCCTTGATCTATGCTGTTTGTGGGACAGTGCTTTTTATTTGCTTTATTAGCTCTTCCATTTTTAGCATTTCAGCTTTCATTTTTATTCAGTATTTCTATCTCTTTGCTGAATCTCTCTCTGATATTTTGCATTTCCTTTATTTCATTCAGTTGTTTGTATTCTCAATCTGGAACTGTCTTCTTCTTTGGACACACATGAGTACATACCTGTTTGTGGTCATTCCTTTGATTTTCTTCCTGTGACTGGCTCTCACTCTCACTGCACACCATCACTGCTGTTATTTCTGAGCTTGGTTTGTTGTTAGCATCAGCCATATATATATTTTTTTTTTCAGTTTAAGTATTTGGCATTTATGTAGCAGAATTGAGTGTCTAGTTCAGAAAATATTTACTCAGTACCAGAGCTCAGTGTGCCTGATTGAAACTCGTACGTTTTTCTCTAAGTAGGACAGGAACTACAGCAGCAGCCACGCCTGTTTGATATTTCCACTATTTAAATGTTGTGCTGGACAATTAATACTAGGCACCCCCTTGTCTTTAATACTTGTGGGGGATAAATATCCAACGACAGTACAGAGTTTAGAAAGATTTTAGTTAATACAATTAGGTTTGGGAGGGAAGTAGGGTAGGAAAGGATAAGGATTAAGTATTGGATTGACTTTGAAAAGAAAAACAGTAAGGTGGGTAATTAGGTAGGAAAGAGAAGTTGGGATGCTGGTAGGGTCCACAGCCTTCAGAGATAGTTATAGCTGTGGGAGGTTATGATTAAAAAGTAAAAAGAGTGGGGGCTAGATTGGAGGAAAGAAGAGGTAGGAATACAGGTGGGAGTGTGCGGGATGTATCTGAAGGATAAACTGGGTGGAGAAACATAAAGAGGACTCCCCTAACTTAACTGTGCAATATATGAGCAAAAGCAGAACCATATACAAAATGAAAATTAAATAGCACAAAATAAGGAATAGAAAGAGTGAATTGCTGATACATCAGCGCTTAGTTGAATGGCGAGGTCCTCAGATCCCTCTTGTTCCACATGGTGCTGTGTGGTGGAAGGGAGAGTTGGAGGTCTTGACTCTGCAGCCTCAGTGTTCTGGGGTTTCTGGTAATTCCCTTGGGTCCTAGCACTTTTGCAGGCCAGGTATGTTAGGAGCACACTTCCTCCAGGTTCTGCTGCTCCCTCCTTAGGATTTCTTGACAGTTACCCCTAAGCTGTGTCCCTTGTGTTCTACAGAGCAGTTGTTCTCAGCCTGTTTGTCACAACCCCTCAGCCAATCAAACGACCCTTTCACCGGGGTCGCATAGTAGACATCCTGCATATCAGATATTTACTTAATGATTCATAGCAGTATCAAAATTACAGTTTTGAAGTAGCAACAAAGTAATTTTGTGCCTGGGGGTCACCACAACATGCGGAATTGTTTTAAAGCCTCACAGTACTAGGAAGGTTGAGAAGCACTGCTTTAGAGTAAACATGGGGATCTACTATGTATTCCACAGGGCTGGCCTTCAGCTCTCTGCACACTCTCCTCACCCGTTTTTCTACAGTCAGTTCTGCGTTACAAAATTACAATACTTTAAATGTTGTTTATTCTCTAACAGTCTTAGAATTGTGGCCCCCAATGTGGCAGAATTAGGAGGTCATAGAGCCCTGAAGAGAGGGAAAATACAAGAAAATTAGGTCATTGAAGACAGCTGTCTCGGAGGGGATTAAGGCAGTTCTTGTACTCTAATAAGTTCTCGTAAGAGAGTGAGCAAGACTGCATGCTCGCCACGGAGAAAGCGATGGAGTTGTTATAAAATAAGACTGTCCCCTCCTTTCCCACTGGCTCTGGTCTTGTCATATTGTACCTTTCTCAAACTGTCTTGTTATTTGTGCGCTGTTTTCCATGAAGTCTTGACCAGAGCTGTACAGAAACTGGTTCAAGCTTGTTACACCTCAAACTATAAGATACACTTCTTTATTAATTTACCTAGGCTCAAGTTTAGTTTTAGCAAAAGAAAACAGTCTGATGCCAAAAGTGTCTTTAGCAGTAACTCTCACCTCTTTTTTCTTTATATGTCAAGTGCTGTTCATACATTGAATGAGCAACTACAATATAATATACTGTAAAGATGAATAAGATATTTTCCACCCTTCACTAATCTATAGTGTAAAGAGCAGAGTTGGACACTCTCTGAAATGGAAACTAAACAGTTTCAGTTCACTGTGATAAGTGCTATGATGTATGGAAAAGGCTGTATGGAAATACCAAGGAAGAAATATATTAGGAAAAATATGTAATGAATAACTATAACAAAGAAGCATCAGAACATAAGCTCCAAAGAAATTAATTTTCCTTCAGGAGCACATGTGTGGTGAATGGGTGGTGGTCTGTTCAGTGTCCTCATCCAGGGTCTCAGGTTCCCTTCGTTGTCTTACTCTGCCATCCCTTACAGCATGGTTGGCAAGTGCTTCTTATAAAGGGACATATAATAAGCATTTTAGGATTGACCAACTGTATGTTTTATCAACAGTGTGAAAACAGCCAAAAATAATACATAATGGAAAGAATATGCATATGTTTCAGTAAAATTTTATCTAATGGAAAGTCAGTTTAGGTCAATAAAATAACATCTTAGCTCCTTTCTATTGCTGTGAAAAATTCCATTCGCTAGGAACCATGGATTCAAATACATGAACCCACTGTGGGCCATTTTGATTTAAACTATCACAGATAATAATATTTGCCAACTGCAGAGTCAGAGATACTAGAATTTGTACTTGAGTATTTATTATTTACTGCATTGTAAAGCATTAAGTCTAATTTATTTATTTTTTTATAATTTTTTAAATTTATTTTAATTTTTATTAATTACACTTTATTCACTTTGTATCCCCCCTGTAGCTCCCTCCCTTCTCCCCTCCCAAGTCCACTGATAGGGGAGGTCCTCCTCTACTTCCTTCTGATCGTAGTCTCTAACGTCTTTTTAAACTACATATAAAAAGTTAGTCTGGACATGAGTTCTTTTGTGAAAAGTACTATATGTTGTTGTTACTCGTTGGGAAAAAGGCAGTGTATAGATATTAATAGGGGGTTCAAACTATTAACATATGGAGTAAAGCCCAGGAGTTAAAATTTCTTAAAAATATAGGAATTTTTTCTCTATATTTATTAAAAATTTAGAGAACCATATTTCTTAAAATATAGAGAGAATAAAGGAGTTCTGTCAATCTTTGGACAATATTTTAATACCTAGTAGTCTGTTTCTAGCGGCTTATCCCAAAAACAATACTGAAATTTGTCAGACAGAAGCCTTTTAATGATTAGTGCAGAGTTTTATATGACACTCTTAGGAAATTATTTAAAAACATCTTTGGGCAAGCTATTTAATTTTTCTACTTTAGTTCATCCATGCATAACATTTAAAACTAATAACTACTTCACAAAAACTTAAAAGGACTTAATGAAGGTTTGTCTTGGTGCTTTTTGAACTGTGGATGACAGATTTTAAGTTGTACAGAGTTATCCCTTAAAAGTAATTCTTTTGTGGTTCTTGAGAAATTACTTAGAGCTCATGGGGCAACAGAACATTTTTATTGTAATAATTACAAGCCATCTCACTAATTAAACATTTTAATGTTTATTTCTTCAATATTGGCACACAGAAGAGCTTCCTTTTAGGTGTTTTACATTATTTAATGAATTTGGAAACATTTAGGCAGATTTTCATCGTTAATCTGATTTTCTTTTTATTTCCCTAGTTTTTATTTCAATATTTCTTTAACCATTATAGTTGGCTATGGGTACCATCCATAGTGTGTATCTGCTTCCATTTGCTTTCTAAAAGCTACAGTAGCTGCTGTTGCATTCCAGTTCAATGAGCTATGTAGATTTTTAAATGATCACTGCTCTTATTTTCCCTTCTGACCATTTTCATGGTAGTTCCTGTAGAAGAATTCATGGTAGTCTTTAAAAATATTTCTGCTAGAAACAGTTGTATTCAAATGGAAATTGGAGATCTTCTAGGGTTCAATAATCCTCATGTTTTACTCTTTACACTTTTTTATTAATTAACAAATTGTCTGTCTGACTGTCCTCCTTTTCCTTCCTCCATCCTTCTCCTCTTTTGTCTCCTCCTTTCTTTTCTTCCCTCTGTCCCTCTTTCATTCTCTTCTTCCCTCCATCCATCTCTCCCTCCCTTCCTCCCTCATCCTTTCTTCTTTCTTCGTTTCAAGCAAGCTTGAACTAAATCTTTCTGTCTCCCTCTGGAGGGCTGGAATTAAAGGCACATGACATCCAGCTAGATCTCCAGACTGTAAATGTAAAAGGAATGGAGACAACATGGTGCACATGTGAACACAGCTAACTACAAAGGTGCTGAGGGCATAGCTTTGCTACTGTGCAATCGCTGTGGAAGAAGAGAACTGTTCTTTGTTTGTTTGAGATACGGATCTCACTATGTAGCACTGGCTGGCCCAGATCTTGCTTTATAGGCCAGGCTAAGCATTGAAATTACAGAGATATATTTCTCTGTGCTTCTTGGGTGCTGGGATTAAAGGGTTGTGCCACCATGCCTTAATGGTTACCAGGGCACTTTCCTTCTTCCCTCCTTCCTTCTGATAGGGCATTCCTGTGCAGCTCAGGCCGTCCTTGAACTCACCATGGAGCACAGGCTGGTTCCAAGGGACCCATCTCCCTTTCCATCCTTGCAGGTCCTGTGAACACATCAGGCAAAACACCCAAACACATGAAATAGTATGCCTTAAAATTTAAGTTTTCTCTTTTGGAGACATTTGTAGACTTGTAATGTTGAGGAAATGTAGAATTTTTCCAGTTTTAAGTCTTATTCCAGGAAGCCTGTTCCTGCTACCACTGATGACTGGCTCTGTGGCTTTTCTTTGAAAGCACCAACCAACTACTTTACTTAGACCCTGAGAAAATGTAGAATGTCTCAGTTGGGGCTATGGGTGCCTGTATACATGAGTAGATATGAAGAACGGAAGGTGGAGAAGAGACAGAAATGAGACAAGGGACACAAAGGAACTGTAACGTAGCCTGGCTTTTGAAAGCATGGCAATCATTGTGTTGCTAGCGACAGGAATATATGTCCCTGGGACAGCTTGGCTTAGAACTGTGCTAATTTGTACCACATTATTTCATATTTCTAGTGAAAAACTATAAGGAATAATATGCTTTTGGATTTTTTTGTTTTTTGAAACAGGGTTTCTCTGTACACTCCTGGCATTTCACTAGCCTATTTTTCCATTTTTTTTATGAAACAGAAACTTAGATTTTCCTTGTTAGCATTATATTCTTATTTTTTTTTTCATAGAAAACTTTAGTCCAGTGTCTTGAGTTGATTTATTAAGTCTACATTGACTTTAAAGGTATAAGGAAATGATGCACTCCCTGAAGAACATCATGATGGTGGTGGTAGAGTCCATGATCAACAAGTTTGAAGAAGATGAGACACGAAGTCAGGACAGGCAGAGGAGAATGCAGAACGAGAAGAGTAGCAGCTGCTGCACGGACAATTGCTCTGATAGTGACTCCTCCTTCAACCAGGTGGGCTGTCCCCGTCATAGTCATGGTCTGT